TAAATAGAAAGGAGCATAAACACTGCCAAATTAAGTGTAAATATGTAATAAGAAATGCCAAAAAGGAGTTTGAAGAACAGCTAGTCAAAAACTCAAAAGGTAATAAAATGTTTTTTAAGTACATCAGAAGCAGGAAGCCTGCTAAACAACCAGTGGGGCCCTGGACAATCGAGATACAAAAGGAGCACTTAAAGACGATAAAGTCATTGCGGAGAAACTAAATGAATTCTTTGCTTCAGTCTTCATGGCTGAGGATGTTAGGGAGATTCCCAAACCTGAGCTGTCCTTTGTAGGTGACAGATCTGAGGAATTGTCACAGATTGAAGTGTCACTAGAGGAGGTTTTGGAATTAATTGATAAACTTAACAGTAACAAGTCACCGGGATCAGATGGCATTCACCCAAGAGTTCCGAAAGAACTAAAATGTGAAATTGCAGCACTATTAACTACGGTTTGTAACCTGTCCTTTAAATCAGCTTCTGTACCCAATGACTGGAGGATAGCTAATGTAATACCAATATTTAAAAAGGGCTCTAGAGGTGATCCCGGCAATTACAGACCGGTAAGTCTAACGTCAGTACTAGGCAAATTAGTTGAAACAATAGTAAAGAATAAAATTGTCAGACACATAGAAGAACGTAACTTTTTGGGCAAAAGTCAACATGGTTTCTGTAAAGGGAAATCATGTCTTAGTAATCTATTAGCGTTCTTTGAAGGGGTCAACAAACATGTGGACAAGGGGGATCCAGTGGACATATTTATCTCGTTGGACTGACCTAACACTTGGTAAAGCACCCCCATCCTTTCATGTATTTATACCTGCTCCTGTATTTTTTACTTCATACATCTGATGAAGTGGGTTCTAGCCCATGAAAGCTTATGCCCAAATAAATGTGTTAGTCTCTAAGGTGCCACAAGGACTCCTCATTTTTTTTATAGTGTACTTAGATTTCCAGAAAGCCTTTGACAAGATCCCACACCGAAGACTCTTACATAAATTAAGTTGTCATGGGATAAGAGGGAAAAGCCTTTCATGGATTGAGAACTGGTTAAAAAAGACAGGGAACAAAGGGTAGGAATAAATGGTAAATTTTCAGAATGGAAGTGGTAAATAGTGGTGTTCCCCAAGCGTCAGTCCTAGGGCTAATCCTATTCAATTTATTTATAAATGATCTGGAGAAAGGGGTAAACAGTGAGGTGGCAAAGTTTGCAGATGATACTAAAACTGCTCAAGATAGTTAAGACCAAAGCAGACTGTGAAGAACTTCAAAAAGATCTCACAAACCTAAGTGATTGGGCAACAAAATGGCAAATGAAATTTAATGTGGATAAATGCAAAGTAATGCACATTGGAAAAAATAATCCCAACGATACATACAATATGATGGGGGCTAATTTAGCTACAACTAATCAGGAAAGATCTTGGAGTCATCGTGGATAGCTCTCTGAAGACGTCCACGCAGTGTGCAGCAGCAGTCAAAAAAGCAAACAGGATGTTAGGAATCATTAAAAAAGGGATAGAGAATAAGACGGAGAATATCTTATTGCCCTTCTATAAATCCATGTACACCCACATCTTGAATACTGCGTACAGATGTGGTGGTCTCATCTCAAAAAAAGATATACTGGCATTAGAAAAAGTTTAGAAAAGGACAACTAAAATGATTAGGGGTTTGGAATGGGTCCCATATGAAGAGATTAAAGAGGCTAGGACTTTTCAGCTCGGAAAAGAGGAGACTAAGGGGGGATATGATAGAGGTATATAAAATCATGAGTGATGTGGAGAAAGTGAATAAGGAAAAGTTATTTACTTGTTCCCATAATATAAGAACAAGGGGCCACCGAATGAAATTAATGGGCAGCAGCTTTAAAACAAACGAAGTTCTTCACACAGCGCATAGTCAACCTGTGGAACTCCTTGCCTGAGGAGGTTGTGAAGGCTAGGAAAAGAGAACTAGATAAATTCATGGAGGTTAAGTCCATTAATGGCTATTAGTCAAGATGGGTAAGGAATGGTGTCCCTAGCCTCTGTTTGTCAGAGGGTGGACATAGATGGCAGGAGAGAGATCACTTGATCATTACCTGTTAGGTTCACTCCCTCTGGGGCACCTGGCATTGGCCACTGTCAGTAAACAGGATACTGGGCTGGATGGACCTTTGGTCTGACCCAGCATGGCCGTTCTTATGTTCTTATGCTTTGTTCTGTGTCGTTGCATCCACCGCAAGAGAATTGGGTTGTGGGTGGGAAAAGAAATTGACGTCCCTCGCGGGCATGTCGTATTTACGTTCAGCTTTCTTGCATGTTGGTGGAATGGAAACGGGTCTGCCGGAGAGTATCTAGGAGAGCTTCATTTATGGGTAGTGCGATCTTGGAGGGTGCAGAGGGTTGGAGGATTTTGAGGCGTCTATGTTGTGTCTCCTGGACTTCCTCCAAAGGGATGTCCTGGCTGAGTGCCATTCTCTTGAAAAGTTCCTGGAATTGCTTAAAGTCCTCCACGTTTTGTGGAGGTGGAGGCATGAGGGCGTCTTCTGAGGCTGATGGTGAGGCAGAAGCCGGTAAATCCGGGAAGGGTTCATAGTCCACCTCTTCAGGAGGGGGTTCAGGAGCTCTAGATGTTGATGGAGCTGGAGATATAGGCGAGTTTGTGGTCCGGTAGAAGAGGCGCAAGGAGGAGCGGTGGCAGGAGCCGACCACAGGTACCACTGAGACCAGGGCACCAGGTAGGAAAAGTTGGGTCCCGGCCATTAGGGGACAAAGTAGGGAAACTGAGGCTGATTCTTATGATGCGCCATGTCTTGGGGTACGTATGGCTCCGGTGGAGGGGGAGACACAGGCAGGGAGAACTCTGCCTGCTGCTGTGTGCCGTTCTCACGATCAGTGAAAGTAGCCAGGTCAGGTGGTGAGAGCTGCTGTTCAAACAGTGCGTGCTCCATGTGGAGGAGAGGAGAGGAGAGGAGAGTCAGGCTCAGGGGCCACAGAGATATCCTGCTGATGCAGGAATTGTTGCTGCACCCTAGGCTGGTATGCTGCAGAGCGTGAAGTGTGAGCAGCAGCCCAGTGATTTTAGTTTCACTTTTGCAGGAGCTGTGAGACGCTCGTGAGTGCCCCAAAGGGGGTCTGAATCTGCTCCGGGGGTGGCAGGCAGGGTCGGTGCCGTGGTGGAACGCGTTGCCAGCACCGGGCCCATTGGAGGGACCAGTGCCGAGGAGAGCTTCCTGCTGTGGTAAGTCAGGTCGCTGCTTTTGAGCCCTATGTGAGTTGCTTCTGAAGTGCGGGGGCAGTCAGAGTTGCCTGCTCTCGGTGCTGACAGCACCAAGGGTAAAGACCCTGCAGGAGATCCTTTACCCTTTTGAGTGTCTCTGAGAGGAGACATTAGGGTTTCCTGCCTCTTCCCGTGAGAGGGTGAAGCCGTGCTCCCAGTCTGTTCTGACTTGGCAGGGGACCCTGAGGGAGAGGGTTTACTGCTCTTTTCCATAGGCAGCTGCAGAGCTTTCTCCACGAGGAGCATTTTTAGCTGCAAGTCTCTGTCAGGGCAAGCTCTAGTTTTTAAGTTGGTGCAGTGGAGACACTTCACAGGGATGTGTCTCTCACCAAGGCATTTAACGCAGAGTGAGTGCCCGTCAGACCGTGGCATAGACTCCTTGCAGGAGCCACATTTCTTAAAGCCTGGCGACCCCGGTATAATGAAAGTATGAGCGGGCAGGGAAGTCTCAACAAGAGACTAACTTGAGGAATGTTTTTTTTTTTTTTTTTTTTTAATTTAAACTAATGAACTATACTAAAGGAAAGGGAGAACTGGGGAATGGCTAGCTAACTATTTCTATTTTTCTCTACTTATTTCCTACAGTAACCAGGGAAGAGATGAGCACTGCCCCAAGTCCCGTCTTCACCTGAGGACGGTTGAGAAGGAACTGAGAGGGGTGCAGGACGCGCGCGCTCAGGCAGACCCTAACGATGCCGCAAGACAGCAGCTGAGCGCGTGCGTCCCGACCAGGCACTGCTACTGAAGATCTATCAATGGCGCCAGGACGCACCGTCACCTGGAGTGGAGCACGCACAGGGACAGCACTCATAGAAGTTGTTTCTTTCTATACCCTGACAAGTTAATGGTTGGCTTATTCCTGAAACAGGAGAGAGGTTATATCATATATTACGTTTGTCCTATCTAATATAACTACAGATGTTGTCATCCATATACATGTCTGATGGCTTTTTATTCCTAGTAAGCTCTTGGCCTCAACTATATCCTGTGGCAATGAGCTGTACAGGCTAATTCTGCTTTGTGTAAAAAGACTAAATTTAAAAGGAAACATAAGTATGAGTAAAATGCTGAATGTATTAGCTAGCTTATTCACCATGCACACTTGCTAAGTGCAAATGCATCAAACCACTAAGTTGTGACATGATTGTAGTTTCTCATAAAAGCTTTACTTTGATTCCGCCCCCCAAAATCAGCCATATTCTCTCTCTAGAGAAGAACACACTTAGCTCCTCGTGACTGCTTTATAAGGGATCGAGGGACTTTTTGGTAGTCCATAACTCCAGAATATATAATGTAGTCTTTTTTCTCATTGTTTCTTCAACCAAGAAGACTCTCAATCTGTAAGATGAAAGGATCACTATGTGGAAGATTTCTCTGTCCCTGGAATCCTGAAATGTGATCCATTACTTCCAGATGTTTCTCATTTTCAAGGACAAAAGTAATGAGCTGTCAGATCCTTCTGTTGTGAAATTAGAATCATGAGACAAATTTCTGGCAGGTCACCACAGTGCCAATCATGACCAAAAGGGATCACAGAGCAGCAACTGAACTGTAACAATCCATTGAGGCTCTTGTGAGTTAAAAATCTGAGAATCGCTGGATGATGAAAGTTCACTTGAATTACTATGATAGCTAAGTTAGCATTTTAACTTCTAGCACTTCTATTTCAAAGAACACATCTCATGGAAAAACTGAAGGTAAAATAATTTTTAATTAAAATCAAAACCAACAGCTTACCTTCAATTTCATGTGTAAGCATCAACAACTTGCTTCGTAGTTGCTAAAACAAATCAAAATATATCTTAGACCATTAAAGTCACAGGGTTTATACAAAGGGCACTTTGCTGCCTGAGCACGACTACTGCAGTGCACAGACCCTCCCTCATATGTGGGGAACAACCTGCAAGTTAAACTTTGACTAAGATAATCAAAATCAAGTCTCAATCTGCTACAAAGACAACATTCAAAATGTAAAGCAAATGTAAACCAACGCAGAGATGTCTGCTGAGTCTGCAGACAGCGTGGAACATAGCTTTTGTCAGAGCTAACTGCTGTTGTAATAACTAGACCTACCGATTTACCATAATTGTGAATTCAACTGTCAGAAGTGAGTGAGTGAAAGCTCATAAAACGTCACAATAATCTGTAACAATAAATGTTGATGGGTAAAGGGGCAAAAGTGAGACAAAAAGACTAGGGTAGTTAGAACAAAAAGGCCTTCTGCTATAATTCAGGAACTGTTTTCAGATCATGCCTGGTAAACAAGAGAAGTGTGGGGCCTGAAATCAATGAACCCAAACTGGTGTGTCAGAATTAGGCCTAACTGATGAACAAAAAAATAGGGGGATGGGCTATTCCAGCTATCAATCCCTTTTGCAGTCCTAAAAAGAGACCACTGGCTAACTGAAAGATGAGAGCAGGGGAAGGAGTGGGCTTCATCATCATAGGTGCCACCCCCACTGTCTCCTGGGACCCTGGACCTTCTTCATTCTAATTCTGAGAGATGTCCTGACCAGACTGGGCCACAGAGAGGGACTCAGATGACATCACCACCTCCACCTCTACCTGATCCTGCTAAATCCCAAGCACCACCTGGAAATGTGAGACTCTGCCTTCCCTCCATCCCCCAATCTGTAATTTTCCTTCCCTACCCTATTTATTTCTATTCTTACATCTCTCTTCTTTTTCCTTGTCTAGTAAGAGTCTGGCTTAGCCAGCCAATGCTGTATATTTTGCATCCTGTGACCAGAAAAAGGCAGCTAAGTGAAATGCCCTAAACAGTCCAAGTTTGCCAGGTCTCAGAGTGGTTGATCAAATCACGTGCTGCGCCTGTATTTCTCCAGCAATGAGGCTGCAAGTGAGAGTTGACACCAGAGACAGACGCTGCATTTGCTAACTTTGCTGTTCTTTTTTTCCCTCCCCTTTTGTGTGTTTTGTCTTGTTTTGTCTTCTAGGAAACAGGACTGGACTTTAACAAACAAAAACAAAACAGCTCCAGCCATCAACTAAGTTTTTCTCTTTTCCCCAAAAAGGACAGTTATTACCAAATAAGAGACTGCCAAACAAGGAGTTTTTCCTTCAAGAGACTCTCTAAAGGGAAAGGGAAGTTGTTAAAATGAAAGCCTCACTTAACTCTTCACATTTAAAATGCTTAAACTGTTTCTCTCTCTTCTGTATCTTTAATAAAAGGTTAAAAAGGACTCAGTGTATTTGCCATGATACTACCCTGTTTCCCCGAAAATAAGACAGTGTCTTATATTAATTTTTGCTCCCAAAGATGCGCTGGGTCTTATTTTCAGGGGAGGTCTTATTTTTCTTGTCCTGCGGCCAATCAGTGAGCTGTGCGGCGGCGCCCGCCGCTACAGTCCAGAGGAGTCAGACGCTTTACGGTAGCTTCGGGGCCTTATATTCCGGGGTGGCCTTATTATCGGGGAGGTCTTATTTTCGGGGGGATGCCTTATATTACAGCGAGAGGCAAAACTGGAAGTAGGTCTTATTTTCGGGGGATGTCTTATTTTCGGGGAAAGACGGTAAGCAGGCTGAGGTCTCTGTAAATCAAACACTGAACCTTGTTTACAACTGTTTAATATTGGACAGTTTCAGGGTCCCGTTACCACCTCTGACTCTTTGGGCCCTTTATGCCATCTAAAATTAATACAATACTGCCCTCATTCATCTCAGCAGAACAACACTGAAAACTAATGATGACATTTTAGTTTCAACACAACCTATTTCGCTGCTGATCATTTTAGCAGAAGTGTTCAGCTTTTGAATACAGGACCTCAGTTTACTATACCTCAAGCATTACTAGGAAGGCACCATGAACATCTCCTTTCTTCTCCAGCAGGTAGGAGGAAGCTTCATGGAGCAGGTGTTTCTGGGTAATCTGGGCAAAAAAAGAGTCTATTTTAAAGAATCTACTGTTTCTGTTGTTAGATAGAATGGAGTGATTGCATTAGTCAGAGTGGACTTCACATCTCCTGTGCATCCATGTGCTCATGATCCTGGACATTACCCATCTGAGGCACACAGACATTTTCACACTGGATGGAGTGTCTTCATTCCTAATCACACACTATAACTATTAAAAAGGGAATTCAAAGCTTAAACAGAAACAAACAAAAATCAAAATCAAGGAAAGATTATGAGCCATAATAAATCAATCAATCAAATACAGGTCAATAAGAATCTCTACCAGCAGTAAAATGCTGGAAGTGCTGCCTACGGAAGTACCAGTCTCTTATGGTTTCAAGCACCTTCCAACGCTTTTACCAGTCACAATAGAGAGCTCTATTCGCATAACCTATTTACATGTAAAGGAAACTCCACATACTGCCATTAGAATGTGAATGTTTGTATGTTTATATATGAAACAGACTGCAATCTGACTGTACTGACTTGAATGACATTCCCTAAAAGAACCGCTTTACACAGGATCTAACCCAGGGATGGGAAAACATGGCTCAGCCCCGCTCTGGCGCTCCAGCCAGGGCTTGCTCCGGCCGGAGCACTGGGTCGGGGCCGCACCAGGCGGCTCGGCCCTGCTCCGGCCAGGGCGCAGGGTCGGGGCCGCACCATGTGGCTCCTGGAAGCCACGGCATGGCCCCGCTCCAGCTCCTACACACTCCAATGGGAGCTGCAGGGGCGGTGCCTGCAGATGAGGCAGCGTGCAGAGGCACCTGGCCGCACCTCCGCATAGGAGCCAGAGAAGGGACATGCCACTGCTTCTGGGAGCCGCTTGAGGTAAGCGCCGTTTGGAGCCTGCACCCACTAAGCCTCTCCCCATGCCCCAACCCCCTGCCCTAGTCCTGATTCCCCTCCTGCTCTCCAAACCCCTCAATCCCAACCCAGAGCACCCTCCTGCACCCCAAACCTCTCATCCCCAGCCCCACCCCAGAGCCCGCACCCCCGGCCGGAACCTGCACCCCTTCCCACACCCCTGCCTGAGCCCTGATCCCCCTCCCACCCTCAGAATCCCTCGGTTCCAGCCCAGAGCACCCTCCTACACCCCAAACTCCTCATCCCCAGCCCCACCCCAGAGCCCACACCCCCTCCTGAACCCCAACCCCAATTTTGTGAGCATTCATGGCCCGCCATACAATTTCTATTCCCCGATGTGGCCCTCGGGCCAAAAAGTTTGCCCACCCCTGATCTAACCAAATGACAGAGGTAAAAATTCCATTCTGAAGACTTAGATCCTCTCCTCAATGAGCTGAGAACTGAATTTGGAAATTAGTAAGTTAAGTTTTAAATACAGCAGCAGCTAAACTGTTCTCTCACACCACACAGGCAACATCATGAATAGGGTCAAAGCATGTTAGAATCAGATTTTACAATGTTTCCCAATTTTTCTTTATTTCCTAACCATGTGAGAATGACAATTAATAACTGGGCTAATATAATTGTGACTTAGACTGGAGCATAGCTCTGTTTGTCCTGTCCATGCTGACTGCCTAAACCATGACAGAAATTCATTTGACAGGAACTGCATTTAACTAAGTTTAAACACCTTTACTAAAATCTGACCAAATGTGGATGAGCACTCACAGTGTACCAGCCAACTTACCTGAATGGTCTCTTCCAGTCTGTAGAACTCCAGAACCTGCAGTGTCTCTAAAACCTGGTCAGGATTGTAGTGACACAACAACTCAATGAATTGTTCAGTGACACAGGGAGATATCTGTAGCATGTCCTGATTGATACCTTCCCTGGAACACAGACAGGAATTTTAATTGCTATTGTATCTCATTCAAGCAGTGGACATGTTAGATTAAAGTAAAAGGCTGCACGCAGCCGACAAAATACAGGTTACAAACCTAGAACTAAACCTGAAGAACAGCTGCCCTCTATAATGGCTCCCCTACAGAACAGCGTCAAATTCAAGAGCTCTGCCCTTCCCAAGAAGTTCTGTGGTTTGAGCCCAGAATACCTAAAAGGTCACCTGAAGCTCCAGGATGAAGACCAGGGTCAATAACTCCACTCCTCAGGCACACTGAAACTGTCCATCCCAAACGTAAAGCTCATCTGTGCCAGAGATGAAGCTTTCCTCAGGGCCTGGTCCCACATGTGGAACAAGCTCCCCAGGAAACAAGAGCTACCTCTACTTTCTGTTCCAATTACACATCACACTTGTTCGACCTGCCTTCAGTAAACACACACACACACAGCAGCCATGAAAGAAATAAAAAATTAGTAGTTGGAAAGGAAAGAGAAAAAACACAGGTGACAGATGTTAGCCACATCACTTAGTGCAGAACCAGAAGGTGGTCAGTCACTAGAGTGGCAAGGGCAGGATAAGAACATGAATGGCAATGAAGATCTGCTCGTTCCCTAGTTACTGAATTCCAGATTATTGTCCTCATAGTGAACATGTACACATGTAGCAGAACTGTGAAGTAAGTGGTCCAAGCCAGCAGGAGGGAGTGGAAGTGGAAAAGAGGACAGGAAGTCATTGGTGCAGGTGGTAGAGCATAGCAGTGCACTCTAGGATGAGTATGCACTGCGCAGCACAGGTAAAAGGACCTTATGTGGCTACAGCTCTCATAGTGTGGTTATGATTAGAAATACTATGATGTAGAAGTGGCAACTTATTTATCGGTTTGCTTTCCATGTGTACTCCGAGTAATACCTACCTAGATTCTGACCAAAAATACTTGTACTACTTTTGGCATTGCAGAGCCATTGCAGCTGTGGGAGTCTGAGCTGGATTCTTTTCTGGCTCTCCTTAGCAGAATTGTTAACCAAGTTAGGACCTCTGAAAACATGAGACAGGACCTAGAACCTTTTTACCATAGAGATGGAGGGAGTTAAGGGGTTTGGAGGACTACCTGGATTTACTCCCCCCCATATCTCTGATCAGAGAAGACAATCCTGTCATCTGCAAGTCCTGTGCACTGAAGAGTGACCACACTTGGAGTTGTCTCCACTGACTGGGGAGATGCAGAGACCTCCAGACTGAGCAAGTGCCTGTGGGCTGTGACTGTCGCAGAGCTTCCCTTCTGTGTTCTCAGCTGACATATGACTGATTGTTTGCATCTCTGAAATTTGAAAATTTTCTCTGTGGTTCATAATAGCGGTGTGGCAGAAACTGTGATGTACATGGTTTGTGAGAAGACATTTTCATTTTTGTCCAGGCATATAAATCCCCAGGGACCGAAGTGAGGCTTTGAAGTCCTTAAGCATGTCAAGTGAGGCATCAGTCTTCTCAGCAAACAACTTAGAGCCTTCGAAGGAGAGGTCTTCAACCGTTGTCTGAATCTCCTTCAGGAAACCTGAAAGATGCAACCATGAAGCTCGCCGCATCACAACTGCCGTTGAGATGGAATGGGCCGCTTTATCAGCCGAATCAAGTGTTGTCTGAAGTGTTGTTTTGGCCACTAACTGCTCCTCACTGATAATGGTTTGGAATTGTTCTCGTTGTGACTCCATGGATGGTCAATAAAAATGTTAAATTTGGCATAGTTCATATAGTTGTTGTCATAACTATAAAAGGGAAGGGTAACAGCCCTCCTGTGTACAATACTATAAAATCCCTCCTGGCCAGAGACTCCAAAATCCTTTTACCTGTAAAAGGTTAAGAAGCTCAGGTAACCTGGCTGACACCTGACCCAAAGGACCAATAAGGGAACAAGATACTTTCAAATCTTGGTGGGGGGAAGGCTTTTGTTTGTGCTCTTTGTTTTGGGGGGAGTTCGCTCTTGGGACTAAGAGGGACCAGACATCAATCCAGGCTCTCCAAATCTTTCTGAACAAGTCTCTCATATTTCAAACTTGTAAGTACAGCCAGGCAAGGCGTGTTAGTTTTATCTTTGTTTTCTCAACTTGTAAATGTACCTTTTTGCTAGAGTGTTTACCTCTGTTTGCTGTAACTTTGAACCTAAGGCTAGAGGGGGGTCCTCTGGGCTCTTTAAGTTTGATTACCCTGTAAAGTTATTTTCCATCCTGATTTTACAGAGATGATGTTGACCTTTTTCTTTAATTAAAAGCCTTCTTTTTAAGAACCTGATTAATTTTTCCTTGTTTTTAGATCCAAGGGGGTTGGATCTTGATCCACCAGGAGTTGGTGGGAGAAAGGAGGGGGGATGGTTAATTTCTCCTTGTTTTAAGATCCAAGGGGGTTGGATCTTGATCCACCAGGGAATTGGTAAAGAGTCTCTCAAGGCTACCCAGGGAAGGGAATTAGCACATTGGGAGTGGTGGCAGCGGACCAGATCTAAGCTGGTAGTTAAGCTTAGAAGTTTTCATGCAGGCCCCCACATCTGTACCCTAAAGTTCAGAGTGGGGAAGGAGCCTTGACAGTTGTACTTTGCCATTAAGGCCTTGGAGTTTGAAATTCTGAATTGCGAAGTAGCAGAAGAGTAGGCCTTCCTCCCAGATAAGTCAAGCTGCTTCCAATTCCTATCATAAAGGGTTGATTTGGAAGGATGTTGGCGGCCACGGGAATTCACTGCGTCAATCACGATGGAATTAGGTGGAGGGTGGGAGAAAAGAAATTCCGTACCCTTGGGGGGAATACATAGTATTTTTATTGGCCCTTTTGCATGTTGGTGAGGCCAATGCTGGCATTTGCCATATGAGCTTAGCAGCATGGATCCAAAAGCACCTCAGTGATACGGAGGGCTATGCTCGAGGAATAGGATGTATGTAAAATATCCAGCAGCTTATGGTGTATGTCTCTTTCCTCCTCTAGAGGTATTTGCAAGGTATCTGCCATCCTCTTCATAAGGTCTTGGAAGAGCTTAAAATAGTCTGCCATAGATGGTGTAGGGGGCATAAAAAATGGTTACTGACTTTCCGTAACTGATGTTCTTTGAGGTGTGTTGCTCATGTCCATTCCAATGTAAGTGTGTGCTCGTCCTGAGCACCGCCACTCGAAAGTTTTTCCCTCAGTGGTATGTTGGGTCAACTCTGGTGCCCTCTGGAGTTGCGCCCCCATAGCGCCCGTATATAGGGCCCCGATGACATGCTGCCTCCTCAGTTTCTTCTTGCCAGTTAAGTCTGACAGAGAAGCAAGAAGGGGGAGGAGGGTTTGGAATGGACACGAGGAACACAGCTTGAAGAACAAGAGTTATGAAAGGTTAGTAAGGATTTTTTCTTCTTTGAGTGCTTGCTCATGTACATTCCAATGTAGGTGACTCCCAAGCAATTGTGCAGGGAGGGTTCAGAGTTCATTGGCAGATGGACTGTAACACCACTTGGCTGAAACCCACATCATCTCTAGCTTCTGGGTGATGGGTAGAGCAGAGGTCCCCAAACTGTGGGGCACCCCCCCCCCAGAGGGGCACGGAGGAACACTCAGGGGTGTGTGGCTGGGGCACGGGCACGGGCCAGCCCCCACAGGAGTGGGGAGGGAGCACCAGCCATCTCTGCCCCTGGGGCACTGGCCGCTGGCCCCAGCTCTGGTCCTGGCCCCGCCCCCAGGTGTGGCCTCCTTACTCCTGTCCGTGTCCCCCACCACCCGGAGCTATGGCCTTTCTCCTGTCTCAGCGCGGGGGGGGGGGGGGGGCACAGACAGGGTATGGGGGAGGCGCGAGGTAAAACATTTGGGGACCACTGGTGTAGTGGGATGCGAAAGTGTGGACTGATGACTATGTTGCCACTCTACATATGTCCTGAATCGGGACTTCTGCCACGAACGCCGCTGCTGTAGAATGGGCTGTCAGTGGAGGAGCTGGGACCATCCATAGGTCATAGTATGTGCAGATACAGGCACTGATCCACAACAAAATTCTCTGGGCCGAGATTAGCAGGCCTTTCATTCTGTCTGCAATAGCTACGAAAAGTTGAGTGGATTTCGGAAAGGGTTTAGTCCTCTCTCTGTAAAAGGCTAGTGCACACCTAACATCTAGCAAGCGAAGTCTCTGTTCTTCCCTGTTAGCCTGTGGCTTCTGATAGAAGACAGGTAGGAAGATATCGTGGTTACTATGGAATTGTGAGATCACCTTTGGCATGAAGGCCGGGTGTGGCCACAGCTGAACCTTGTCTTGAAGAAAACTATGTACGGTGGTTCTAAAGTCAGAGCTCGGATCTCTGAGACCCTTCTGGCAGAAGTAATGATGACCAGGAAAGCCATCTTCCAGGACAGGTGGAGCAGAGAGCATGTTGCCAGCGGTTCAAATGGGGATCCTGTTAGCCTTGCAAACACCAAGCTGAGGTCCCGGAGAGAGAGTCGTGTGCATACCTGGGGGTATAGCCCTCCAATCCTTAAGGAAACAGCCACTGATCGAGTTTGAGAAGCTGTTCACCCATGGGTGAAAGGCTGAGACTGCAGCTAGATGGACCCTAACAGATGATACTGTTAGGCCTTGCTGTTTCAAGTGGAGTAGGTAATCTAGGATTAAAGGCAGTGTTGACTGAGTAGGCAAAACCGCCTTTTGTGCTGACGAGATCGAGAATCTCTTCCACTTTGCCAGGTAAGTGGTTCTAGTGGACAGTTTCCTGCTCCCTAAAAGCACCCTGCAAACCGGCTCAGACCATGCCAGTTCTGTGGGATTCAGCCATGGAGCTTCCACGCCATGAGATGAAGGGACTTGAGGTTCAGATGACACAGATGGCCCTGAGAGATCAGGTCTGGAAACAGGGGCAGGCTGATTGGTGTGTCCACCAAGAGATCTAGGAGGGTGGTGAACCAGTGCTGATGTGGCTGGGCTGGAGTTATCAGGATAAGGCATGTCCTTGTCCCTTCTGACCTTCAGCAGGACTCTGTGTATGAGAGGGATGTGAGAGAACGCGTAGAAGAGATGGACCGTCCAAGAGAGTAGAAAGGCATCTATGAGCGTGCCCGGGCTGTGACCTAGGAAGAAGCAGAACTGAAGACACTTCTTGTAGTGCTTTGTCGCGAACAGGTCTACCTAGGGAGTTCCCCACCTCTGGAAAATGGTGCTCATGATGTCTGGGCGAACGGACCACTCATGATGGTTGGAAAAGGATCTGCTGAGATGATCTGTTAACTTGTTCTGCGACCCCAGAAGGTAGGAAGCTTCAAGGTGGATCAAGTGGGCTATGCGGAATTCCCATAGGCAAAGAACTTCCTGGCATTCCTGGGGAGAGGAATGCACTCCGTCCTACCTGTTTATGTAAAACACTGTTGTTGTGTGTCGGTCCTTACACAGAACACAGTTGCCCTCCAAGTGGGGTTGGAACACCTGGCAGGCTAGGCTCACCACCCTCAGTTCCCTCACATTGATGTGTAAAGAGAGCTCTTACAGGGACTGATATGTCTGCAATGAAACACTGACAGTTGGGGCCTCGAGAATGGGACTCCTACACATACTGTCCGGAGATCCAGCCGTCAATGAAGTGGAACTGGTAAGATGGGGTGTACCCTTTCTTTGGAAGCTGAGGATCTGTTAATACTGCGAGTGTCTAGTGGATCGGGGCTGGACACTCCTACACTTGGAGGGCTCGGGGGTTGGAGTGTGCCTATTGATAACCTGTAGAGAGACAGTGGGCACTGGGTACGTGAGCTTATGTTGCCCATGGCCAATGGAGCTGGAGAGCTGACCCACAGTAGGCACTAACAAGGGCTCCTCATGATAAGGGCAGGTGGTAGCAAGGTGCCTCACAGCTCTGGGAACCCCTGGGAAGCGTCCCAGTATCAATTCTCCAGAGGTACCAGTTCTGCCTTCAAGGTTCAAGAATGGGATACAGACCCTAAGAAAATAGGAATAAACACCTTTTCTGGAAGTGATGCTGGCACTTGTTATCTGACTCCCAACCTTGAGAGGAAGCTGACTTCTTTCCTTAAGGATCCATGAAAAGGAATAGGGAAGGACCACTGGGTTTTGGCATAGTTAGAGCTGAGTAACAACTTTCTATGAGTGCTGGTACCCATCAATCCAAGGTGATCAATTGCATGCCAGAAAAAAAAAAAAGGATTATAAAGCTGTGCAAAACTATAGTAAGTGAGTTCAGAATCAATTCCAGGGAGAAGAGGGAACATGCGCGGAGGAAAAGGACATACAGTAGGGCAATACAGGGGGTCCCCGGTATAAGTCTCTCCCTTATCCGTTGTTTTGGATACCCATCGCTCATCAATAGAGGAACGTGTTCCAATTCATGCTGGTCCTGATCTGCATCTGTGTCATTTTCATGGATTGGCACTGACATGAATTGGAACATGTTCCCCTATTGTACAGTACAGTACTGTAGCTGTGTCTGCTGGCAGTCCACAGGGCCACCAATCAACTCCTCCCCCTCCCTCCCAGTGCCTACTGAATGCCGTGATCAGCTGTTAGGTGGCGTTCAGGAAGCGCGGGGAGGAGGGGGACGGGGCGCTCGGAGGAGAGGGTGGAACTAGGCAGGAAGAGGCAGGGCGGGCCCCAAGTACAGTACTGTCCTGTACCCAACATGAGTGCAAAACACATTCAAAGTGTTAAAGGTGCGCTTGTGTCTAAGAGGCAACGCAAAAGTGTAACATTAGAAGTGAAATTAGATGTTATAAAATGTATTGAAAGAGGTGAGTGTGCAGCCGACATTGCTCGTATTGTCGGTTTGCCTGGTTCGACAGTACGCTCAATTTTTAAGAGTGCTGATTGAATTCGTGAAAGGGCTAGAAGTGCTACATAACTGTCATCAAGGAAGATAACGAAACAAAGCAGCAGTACAATGGAGAAAATTGAATGCTTGCTGGCTGACTGGATTGATGACCTCCACGAAAAGAAAATGCCCGTGAATTTAAGCTTGATTCAGGAGAAGGCCAAAAGCTTGTATAACGATTTAAAGGAAAGAGAGGGAGAGAGAGCTCAACAGCAGAAAAGGAAACCTTCAATACTAGTTGTGGGTGGTTCCACAGATTTCAGATGTGGGCCAATCTACATAATGTAAAACTCACAGGAGAAGCAGCTACTGTGGATGAAGATGCAGCTGAAATGTTTCCTACGCAGCTAAACACAATTGTTTCGGAAGGTGGCTACTTTGCAAAACAAGTTTTTAACATTGACGAGACAGGCCTTTACTGGAAGAAGATACCCACAAGGGCATATTTCTCGTGACGAGAAGACTGCTCCTAGGTTCAAAGCCTCAAAAGGCCGCTTAACCCTTCTGCTTGGGGGAAATGCAGAAGGCGATTACAAGTTGAAGCCCATGCTTGTCTACCACAGTGAAAACCCAAGAGCAATGAGGGGCTACGTCAAGTCTCGTCTCCCCGTAATTTGGAAGTCGAACAGAAAGTCCTGGAGGACATGCAAAATTTTCCATGAGTGGTTTGTAGACCATGCTGTTCCTAAATTTAAGGTTTACTGTCAGAAGGAAAATTTGGCATTTAAGGTTCTCCTTCTGCTGGATAACGCAAGTGCCCATGAACTGGACTATGAAGCCCTCTGCCCGAACATCAAGGTCCTATTTTTGCCACCCAACACCACATCATTGCTGCAGCCTATGGACCAGGGTGTAATGGCCACATCCAAGGTTATTACCTATGGAGGACGTTCTCCATGCTGATTAAGGAGATGGCAGGTGAAGGAAAGCCCAGTGTAAAGGAGTTTTGGAAGTCCTATAACATCTTGAACTGCATGGAAAACATTGACGTGTCGTGGGAAGAGGTCACTTCGCAATGTATGAACGGCGTTTGGCACCGTGCATGGCCAGATATTGGCCACAGCTTTGTGGGATTTGATGCCGTTCCTGCTCTCGAGCAAGAATTTGTCATGTTGCCGGAGGAAGTCGGCTTCGAGGAGGTGGAGGACGATGTACAGGAGTTGTTGGAGTTTCATGCTCAGCAACTGACAAATGAGGAACTGATTGAGCTGGACCAATAAGAGATATCCGAAGAAAGCAAGGACGGTGATGACGATGACACAGGGCAGGAAGCCGGAGTCTGACGACAAAGAATCTCTCCCGTTTCTTTGGATTGCTGGATGAGATGACGGAAATCATACAGAGCAGTGATCCTTTTCGTGAATGGTCTGCCAAAGTCTCCAGGGCTCTCAATGATGCAGTGGCTTGCTACAGGGAGATCTATCGTTCAAAGATTCATGCAGGAGAGCAGATGTCGATAAAATCCTTTTTTAAGACTTCTGCAACCAAAAAGCCAGCCATGGAAAAGCCAGCCAAAGAAAACCCAGCCTCCACTCTTACCTAAATTTAGTGTAATTGACGATGTTTTATACTGTATTAAAATTTTCTGTGTTTGAATGGTGTTAGTAGGGTTCCACATTATTTTATTCAATGTTTTATGTGTAAAATGTGTACTGTAGAACCTGTCACTGTAAAAAGGTACAGTGTTTAGGTGAAAAGAGCATTGTCGTAGACGAGTGTGGTGCAGTTGTGAACACATCCTCCTCTTATTCCGTTATGTCTTTGGTGAAAAATTCCCCGGTATGTGTCGTTTTGGTATCCATCACCCTTTTCAAGAATGCAACCCCAATGTATATAGGAGACCGCCTGTACATAGGAGAAGCATGTATCCAAAAAGGGACGTACACATAGGGGGTCACCACAATGGAGTATCCATGGCAAGAAGAGTATGCTGAAGAAGATAGAGATCACTCCACTTGGCATGATTCTGCCTTCTTTAAAGGGAACGGGTACCCCCAGCAACCTTCCCACAGATCTCTGGGCCAGAGGCTTGCTGCACACACCAAGCCATGTTGAGCTGATTAATCTGTTAAGACTGTAAAACTACTTAACACAGCATGTAAATATAGTCCAGCCCCTCTGCCTCAGCATGGGGGGAGGGGTGGACTAGGTGAGGTCTCAAGGTCCCTTCCAGCCCTACATGTCTATGATTTTATAATTCTGTCCTAAATTTAGATATAAATTTGTTCATGCTTCTCATCACTTTGTTCTGGTAAAAACAACAGGCACTGCAGGTACATCACCCAAACACACATCACAAATGAATGGATTTCATTACACTTGTTTGCAATGGAAACACACTCTCCTGGGAAGTGATCAGGAAATGGAAATGAAAATGAAAATATAATAAAAGCTTTGATAAGAGAACTGTAGCAATATACACTTTGCTCTATTTTCCATCATTGCTTATCAGTCATGGACACAAGGGCACTGGGTTTTAAATTTCCCATGGCAATTTCTATTAACCCCGATGCCCCTACTTTAAAATAAAACTCTAGCTAAATTAAATGGGCCAGATTAATCTCTGATGTATTTCCCCTAACTTCAGTGTAGTTACATCAGGGGGATGAATCTAGTCTCATGTGCTGCCACAAAAACATTTGTAGTTGAGACACTAAACTCATTTGTTCCTCTAGGAATCTCTGTTTTAATAAAACCTCTGCCTGAAAGAGGATATAAACATTCATATGGATTGGAGAAAGACAGATGTTTTTGAAGGGGCTTGAATCATGGTTCTTCCTTCTGACATGCTACAAAGATTGGACATTTAAAAAAAATTTTTTTTTTTTAAATAAGCTGTTGTAGATGTTCTTTGACTGTTCAGCAGCCGTGAAATTAAGTTATAACCTTGCAGATTAGGCCTTTTGAAGTAAATAAACCAAATCAATTTACAAACTACTGTGAAAAAAGTTTCACTATTTTATAAAGTGCAAACAAATTATATTGCTAAAGCTCATTTTGAAGTATGTCCCCATTACACACAAATCCACAGCACTGGCAACACAACATAGTCAGTAGGAGCTTGTGTGTTATGAATAATAAACTACTCCAATAATCTAAGGTCTCTTCAGAGAGAATTTCTTAAGAATAGGACAGGTCAGGGGAATATTGTCAATAAAAACAACAAGGAGTCTGGTGGCACCTTAAAGACTAACAGATTTATTTGGGCATAAGCTTTCGTGGGTAAAAACCTCACTTCTTCGGATGCATAGAGTGAAAGTTACAGATGCAGGCATTATATACTGACACATGGAGAGCAGGGAGTTACTTCGCAAGTGGAGAACCAGTGTTGACAGGGCCAATTCAATCAGGGTGGATGTAGTCCACTCCCAATAATAGATGAGGAGGTGTCAATTCCAGGAGAGGAAAAGCTGCTTCTGTAATGAGCCAGCCACTCCCAGTCCCTATTCAAGCCCAGATTAATGGTGTTAAATTTGCAAATGAATTTTAGTTCTGCTGTTTCTCTTTGAAGTCTGTTTCTGAAGTTTTTTTGTTCAATGATAGTGACTTTTAAAT